GTTTTTTAGTGCTTATTAGTTTTTCTTCTATTTTTAATTTCATATTTTTATTTGGTGTAAAATTATACATAAATGCCAAAATTAAAATATTATGACCTGCTTATTTTGTGAAATTGTTAACAAACAAAGAAAAGCCTATATTATTGCTGACAATGAAAGAGCAATAGCCGTTTTAGACGCTTTTCCCGTGAGCGAAGGTCATACTTTACTTATTACTAAGGAACATTTTGTCAACATTACCGAAATCAATCAGGAGAGTTGAAATCTTTTATTACCTTTAATGAAAAATATTATTAATAAATTACAAGTAACTTTCCAGCCCCAAGGATTTAACATTATCACTAATATGAATGCAATAGCCGCCCAAAGTATTTTTCACCTCCATATCCACATTATTCCCAAATACAAGAAAGACCAAGGATTTATTTGAACCGCTAAACCTGAATCAAAACCTAATTTAGCCGAAGTAGCCAAAAAACTAAAATAGAGATAAGAAAATTAGTCATGGAAATAGCAAAAAAAAAAAAAAAAAAATGCCAGAAATAACCAAAGCCAATAGTATAGATATAAATAATAATCAAAAGGATAACCACAATAACCAAAAAAAAGAGGATATTAACTATAATCTGCCCGCAGAAAAAAGCCATTGGGAAAAGTATGAACTTTATTATCTAGTCTTCGGTAGTTTTTTTTTTACTATCTTAATTATTTTAATTAGCAATTCCAGCACCAATAATCAAATTAAAAAAATAAATAAAAGATTAAGCGAGACCGAGGAACAGAGAGATAATTCCGATAGTCCCCGCAATCCTTTCTCACCGCGAAACAATCCCTTTCACGACCATAACCATAATTATCAGAGCGGCGATTTTGTTTATTCTGACGACAAGAAGAAAAATGAAAACTGATTGGAAGAAATGGTTTTTCAAGACGAGGTTCGACGGGAATTTCAAACTTGGGTTAATTCGGTGAAATATTTACCAAAATATCGCATTGGTGGTCAACAAGAGCCGGAACGACATGCTTTATTTTATGGACCACCGGGTTCGGGAAAAAGTTATTTAGCCGAAAAGTTCGGAGAAAACGAAGCCCGTGCTTACATTTTCGCGGAATTCGGAACCGAAACTTATGCCGGAAGCGCCAAACAAAAAATGAATAAGGTATTTGCTGAGGCCGAATATATACTAACAATGAAAGGCCAAGATAAGCCAGTAGTAATTATTATTGATGAAATTGATTCCGTGGGAATAAAAGACCCTTTGTCGGGCGGTGCCAGTGTTTCCGAAACTAACGGAATTTTAACCATGATTGACCGAATAAAAGAAAAAGGATTAAACATTATAGTTATTGGAATAACTAATTATCCTAATGTTCTCGAACCGGCTCTTACCCGCACTGGTCGCTTAGGTCGACAAATTAGCATTCCTTATCCAACCAAGGAAGAAATAAACAAAATGGTTAACTATTTGGAAAAAGACATCAAAAAAGAAAAAACTGGTGCTTATAAATATGAGGGCAATAAGTCCCAATGGGAAAAGGAAAAGGAAAAGGAAAAGGTTATCGAATGAACTAGTGATTTTTGGTCTAATATTCGCCAAATTACCCAAGACGCCTTTGCTCGCTGTCAACAAGAAAAAGTCGGAATTTCTTATAGTGATTTGGAAATGTCGGTCAAAGATGTTTTAGCCAGACAAGTCAGCAAAAATTCAAAAACGATTATTCCGCAAAGTTCTGATTATAAAGAAGAGTTAGCCAAAAAAATCGACAATAAAATAAGAACTAAACCAAAAAAAAGACCTAATCGTCGCCCAACTCCGAGAGAAAAAGAAAGAGAAGAAGAAGATTTCTAATTATTTTATGGAAAAAGAGGATAAATATAGTAAATTATTAATTGAAAGCGGATTATTTTTTTATGGACCAACCAAAGGGAGTTTTATTTTACCCCCCCAGGGCTATGCTCTGTGAAAAAACATTCAAAATGCTTTGGATAAAAAGTTTGCCGAAAGAGGAGTCCAAAATATTTTGTTGCCAACTCTTATTCCGCTTAATTTATTAGAAAAAGAAAAAAAGCATATTGCGGGATTTAGCCCTGAGTGCTTTTATATTGAAAAAATTGGTGAAAAAAAATTAGAAAGTCCACTAATTTTGCGTCCCACTAGCGAAGTAGTATTTTATGATTATTATCGGCAAATTCTCAGCAGTTATCGACAATTGCCGCTTCTCTATAATCAATGGTGTTCGGTCTTTCGGGCCGAAAAAAATACTAGTCCTTTTTTTCGTAATACCGAATTCTTATGACAGGAAGGTCACACTTTACATAGCAGCGAACAAGAGGCCCGAGAATTGGCTTTAAATATTCTCGCCGATTACCAAGATTATGCCGAAAATACACTTTGCCTAGGCGTAATAGTTGGTAAAAAAACTGAAGGAGAAAAATTTGCTGGAGCCTTGGAAACTTATACCGCGGAGTGCCTTTTGCCGGACGGACAGTGTTTGCAATTTGCTACCAGCCATTATTTTGGCGATAATTTCTGCCGCTTGATGGGGGTTAAATTTCAGAACAAAGACAATCAGACCCAATGTCCTTTTTCGACTTCTTGGGGCACTTCGACCCGAGCCATTGGAGCCATTGCCAAAACTCATGCTGATAATTGAGGATTAATTTTGCCCTTTGATATCGCACCCGTTCAAATTGCTTTTATTTTAATAGGAGAAAATGAAGCCTTAATTAATTATTACCAAGAAATAGACCAATTATTAACTCCGCACTATCGTTGTCAATTATATAATAAAAACAAACAATTTAATTTAAATATCTTACAAGCCGACAAAGAGGGTTGCCCGTTCAAAATAATTTTAGGTCCAGAAGAATTAAAAAATGGAGAAATCACCTTAGTCAAGAGAGATAATGTCGAGCAGAAAATTACTGTTAGTTTCGAAGGAAATGAAACTGAGAAGAAATACTTACTCGATTTTGAAAACAATTTAGCCAAGAATTTCGAAACATATAACTTAGAAAATAAGTTCCAAGAGCAATTAGCCACTGAACGCAAGGAAATAGTAAATTCAGTAAAAAAAGGATTTAAAAAAGATAAAATCATTAAAGTTATTAAGCAAGAAATAACGGAATTTAAAAAAAATATTTATCAAAAAAGCATAGAGTTTCGGAATAAGCACATTTTTCCAGTCAATAATTATTCAGAATTACAAGAGAAAATAAAAAAAGGAGTAGTAGGATTATTTTTGGTTCCTTTTTGCAATAATTTAGATTGCGAGACAAAAATAAAAGAAAAAGTGCCTTCTTATAGTATTAGGTGTATCGCCCTGGAAAAAAAACCAGTTGCGTCACCGAAATGTCTTTTTTGTCAATTACCGGCTGCTGATATGGTCTATTTAGGGAGGTCTTATTAAAGCAAAAAGAAAGTAATTTGGTTCTCCTAATAATTAAATTTACTCTTTAATTATTAGTCACATCTCTTCATATATTAGGAAAATTAGAAAGTTATTACAGCAAGAAAATCTGATAAAAACTCCTTATATAATTCTCTTGCTAATGCTCCCCGAATTTTTTCCCAAATTGAAAATAAACCAGTGAAGTCCTCAGTTAGAAAAAGTCAAAATTAATTTAACTGCTGACAACGTTTTAGAAATTATTACTCCTACTTTGCTTTCTGCCGAATATATTGGTGAGTTATTGTATCAAATTTATAATAAATTTAATTACCTTTTTAACTATCTTAATTATCAAGTAAAAGTTCCAGAAAGCAATTTAAAAATCAGCAAAAATATTATTCAGGAATATTTGGCTTTAATTTGTGCTACCCCTTTTCTCTGAAACGATAAAAAAGATTTAATTTTCTTTTTAGAAGAACGCGATTTATTAGAAAAATTCACTCTACGGCAAAACATGGTCTATTTACTTTTCCCAGACCAGGCCAGTATAGTGGAATGAAAAACCAAAATTATTAGTCTCAAAAAAATATTAGGGAAATTAGGGCTAACCAACCTCCGCTTTTCTTTGCGACAAGTCGAGCCAAAAGAAAATAATATTAAACCCCTAAATTCCGAGCAAGAAAATGCCAAAAAAATGGTAGTCCGCAAGCCAGAAAAATTGGAAAAAAGTTCTTTACTGAGACAATGAAAAGAAAAAAAGTTATTTGAATTAGGAGTTCACACTAAATTCAGCACACTGGATGGGATAAGCAGTCCGTCTGATTATGTGGCAAGTGCTCGCCGAAAGAATTATGCGACCGTGTCAGTAACCGATTATTATAACGTCCAAGCTTTTCCCGAGTTTAGTAAACATCAGGAACCAGATTTACAAATTATTTATGGTTGTGAATTAGAAATGTTGGAAGATAATTTACCGCCCTATATTTTTAACCACTCTGACCAAATTTTAAAAGAAAAGGTTAAAGATTTAACTTATTGTGTTTTTGATTTAGAAACAACTGGCTTTTTTTCGGCTTATAACGAAATTATTGAAATAGGCTACGTTATTTATCACCAAGGGGAAATTATTCGCGAAGGAGAATATCTAATCTGCCCAGAAAAAGAAATCGCCCCCGAAGTTTTAGCGGCTTGATATACTAGCATTGACCCCCACGAGTTAAAAAAAGAAAAAAAAATTAGCGAAGTATTACCGCTGCTAAAAAAGGATTGACAAGACTGTGTATTAGTGGCCCATAACGCTCGTAATTTTGATTATGGTTTTTTAAATAAAGTTTGACAAGAAAAATTGGGCGAAGAATTACCCTATCCCGTTCTTGATACTTTGCCTTTATCCTGAATATTGTTTCCCGACCGCAAATCGTATAGTTTAAAAAAATTAAGTCATGTTCCAGGACGGGGAAAGGTTATCCAAACTCACCGGGCACTGGATGACAGTAAATTATTAGCCGAATTATTAGTAAGATTAATTAAAGCCTTAAAAGAAAAAAAACTTAATTATTGAGGAGAAGTAAAAGAGTTAATAAATAATGGCTATTTTCCTAACCGCGGCTATAAAGTAAAAGTTTTGGCAACTAATCAAGAGGGGTTACATAATCTTTATCGTCTGATAACTCTTTCTCACACCCAAAGACTATTCAAAAAGCCTTGTGTTTTTCGTTCGGATTTAACTAAATATCGGTCCGGTTTATTAATTGGGGCCGCGGGTGGCAGAGAGGGAGAAATATTTGCTCTTTTTAGTGCTTTTAACTCCGCGGAAAAAATCAAAGAAGCGATGCGTTTTTACGATTATGTTGAAGTGAATAGTCCCGAAACCTTTTGTCATTTGTGGTTAAACGGAAAAATTATGGAAAATGAACTGAAAGAAATGATTTACCAAATTATTAGCGTGGCCGAAGAATTAAAAATTCCTGCTTTGGCTTCCCATAACGTTCATTACTGTGAAAAGAAAGAAAAAATCCTCAAAGAAATCATTGTCGCAAATGAAGGAATGAACGGGGTTAGACATTATCTTTATAGTGAAGCAACTTTGGAGGAAAAAGAGGACCGTTTTGCTTACTTGCCACCTCAGCACTTACTTAACAAAGAAGAAATGATTGATAATTGGCTTTTTTTGAATAATAAGGAATTAATCGAAAAAATCATTTTTCGTTATCCCCAGCAGATAGCCAGTAAGGTAGGAACAGTTAAAGTTAAACAACCTCCGCTTAATTACTCAGGCACCGCCAACATTAAAAAAGAAGAAAATGATTTAATAAACTCTTATACCCAACGCACTAACGAAATATTTGGTAAGGACTGACCGGAATTTGTTCAGAAAAGAATTGACAAAGAATGAAGAATTATTCGGGGAAACTATATCTTTATCTATTGACTGGCCTATAAAGTAGTGCAAAAAACTCATGATGATGGCTATTTAATTGGTTCGCGGGGTTCAATCGGTTCTTCCTTTATTGCTTATTTATGTGGTATTACTGACTTAAATCCGTTGCCATTTTATAAATTTTGTGCTAGTTGCCATTATACCGAAATTTATCAAACCCAAGACAAAACTTATTCTTGTTATGATTACCAAGCCCAAGAAAACTGTCCGCGGTGTTCTTCTTTATTAACTATGGAAGGGAATAATTTGCCTTTCGAAACCTTTTTTGGTTGAGAAGGCGAAAAAACGCCTGATATTGACCTTAATTTTTCCGGAGATTACCAAAAAACAGCCCATAATTATATTCGCCAATTGTTAGGCGAAAATTCGGTTTATCGCATTGGCACCATTAATACTTTATCGCAACAAACTGCCGAAATTTTTTACAAAGAACATCTTAAATTACGCAAAAAACTTAATTCACCCGAACATATTCGCGAGTTTTCTAATTCGGAATTAATCGCCCAGTGGCAGAAAAACTATTGAGAAAATTTACTAAAAACACGGAAAGATTTCTCCGAAGAAAACTGATATAAAGAATGGATTGATAGGGAAAAAATTAAAGATTTGGAAAGAAGATTAGCCCGGGCTCGGAAAGAAAAAAGTCAATTAGAAACTGAATTAAAAAAATTAGAGCAAGAATAAATATTAATAAAAATTACTAAGAAAAAAGAAATTTGAGAAAAAAAAGTTGGTTAGAATTAAACAAAAAATAGCGGCAAGGAAAGGAAAATTAAAGAGATTTGAGGAACAATTAGGGTGTAAAAGAATAAACCAAAAGAGAAAATTAAGAAAAATTAAATAATATGTTACAAAATGAATCAATTTTATTAGTGGCCGATAATTCCGGAGCCAAAAAATTATTAGTAATTCGCTGTTTGGGTGGTTCTAATCGCCGTTATAGTCGGATTGGTGATTTAGTTATTGCTACTGTGAAAAAAGCTGACCCGCATTCTGAAAATGTTAAAAAAGGACAAGTGGTAATGGCACTAATAGTGGCTACCCGCCAAAGATTTCGTCGGCATAATAATACTTGGATAAAATTTAGCAAAAATTACGGCGTGTTAGTAAAAAAAGAAAGCAAAGAGCCAGTCGGAACTCGGGTTTTTGTTCCTTTATTAACTGAACTTGAGGAGTGAGGCTATAAAAAAGTCTTTTCTTTAGCACCCGAAATTTTATAAGAAAAAAATATGACTAATCCCCAAACTTCTCTCTACGAACTAATCAAACAAAAATCTCAAAAAAAAGGTCGTCCGTTAAAAATCGTTTGTGATTGGGATGATTGTATGTTTTCT